TGTACATGTATGTAATGCAATACTGTCCATTCTAATAATAATTATTTAAGTAGTTTTGTACTTTCCCTGAATAATTTAATTTATATGTAATTAGATATGAGCTGTAAATGCTTTTACTTAACATGCGCCATGTGTTGGCCAGTAGATTTCAGAGATCAATACATGTTAAATTTGTTAACCTATGAAATAAACTGCTCCACGCTGTGCATTATTGCTTGATACAAGGATTTATTTGCTTGATACAAGGATTTATTCGTCTCAAAATTAGCTTAGGACATTTTGTTCAAATAGCAATTGGTGTCATCGTGCATTTCCAATTATTTGCCATAGTTTGGGTATAAAACAGTAAATTTAACAGAAAAAAATTAGGCCCTTTGTCTGAAATGATTTAACAAATTTAGGACATTTTGAAAATATATCAGCAAATTGCTGATGTTCAGTGAGCATCTGAATCACTGATTGTAACAGAACTGAGACAAAGATGTCTTAATAATAGACTTGACAACTATACTTGGCCTGTTACTATGCCATGGTAAGGGATGAATGAAGTATGCATTGAACAAGTGTGTGAAAACAAATGTTACTATTTCTTTTAAAATGCATGACCTAAACCTATAGTTCTTCACTTGTAAGAATGGGTGGTCTGTTTTGACAATTATTCCAAATATTGAATAATGTTTATTCACACCAAAATATGATTTTGATTTTGGCCTTACCCCTCATACATGTACTATAGTCTAGGAAAAGTAATTGTGTTTCTGATAACTCTACATACACACATACTTGTATTTGATGAAACTCCAATTTTTATTTCATGCAAAATAGTCAATTTGTTCATTTACTAGTAATTTCTTTTGTAGTAGATGACTAATCTTGAGTTTGTTAAATGCAATATTGTGATAGCAATAATTTGTTAATAGAAAGTCAGTCCACTGGAAAAAAAAATAACTAGAAAAAAATCTTATCAACATCCTAATTACTGGAAATACAACATTTGTTTGTTCTTGTTCAAATTGGCCAGAAGCTCTTCTTTTTTTTTCCTCTCTCTTTCTTTTGCCCTTACACTTACATGTTTATGCAAATATACCATACATAGTCAATAATAATTATCTCCATAAATTCCAAGTGAAGGCAGAGAGAATAAGTAGATAGATTGACCCTTAGGGTTAAGTACAAATGGGACAACTGTCAATTGTAATTGTACAGTTGCATGTACCATAGAGCAATTTACATAATTCTATCAAATTCTCATTCAATAATCCTCAAACTTAACTACCGGGGCACCAGTAAGTGCATAATTTATTTAGAAAATCTAATGTTTCCATTATAAGGATAAAAATATGATCCATAATAATTGTTTTTCTTTTAGATAGACCAACAATTTTATGTCATTAATTAATCTCAGTGATTCTTATGATTTCAAAATTTCGAGGCACTTAAATTTTTGACAGCGACTCTGTCATTTAGTCATTTACAATGTTTATTCATGACATGTATAAGTATAATGCAAATCTGAATAAAAAGAATCATATTTGGATGGTGCAAGTCACATACGATTATTAATGGTTTCTAGACTGTCCTTTCAAACTTGTTTAACCCTGCATAGTGACCCCACTTTAGGCTACTACTAGTACTACACTTCTCATCTGTCTAGTCTGAATATTGCATAAATTACACCGATTACTCTTTGCTTTCACAAGTACTCTTCTCAACTACACATACATACATCTTGCAAGTTCAACGAAAAATTGCATTTACTGTATTCGGAATCATTAAAATATGATACACTTCATTCTGTATGTGTGCAACTAATAGAGCAAATATGCTATGTCTAGTTGTATTTACCAAGCTACTATCTGAGTCCACTTATACATTGAGTCTTGCTTCGAATTTAAAATCAGTAGGCAAAATCGATGGAAAATTGAAATAATTATATTTATTTATTTTTTGTTTATATATGTTTAACATCTAAATTTTAATGAATATTGATTTTGAATCCATGCATTACTTTAAGATTTAATTACATGTGATGATGAGAAGTAAAACCTATTTTCCGTTTTGGCATTACAGAAAATATGATGTGATTATTGAGGGCAGGATATAAAGCGTTATACTGTATGTAAGGAGATACTTGATAAACTACTGCCTTCTGTTCAAATTACACTCAACATTCAGTTGTTAATAATGACAAATCATAATGTAATAGAATCTTACAGCACATATTTGCATATGAATATTGGTAATTACGATGGTATGTGTTGCTACATACTTGATACATATACTGACATGCGATATACATACATGCTAGCATCAAATGAGATTTGTGCGTCATTATGGCAGAAAAGGCCACAAATCAGCTGTCATCAGGTCCCAGTCTGACTGTAAATACTGTTTTCAGTTGATAGTTTCTGATCCTCATCTCTGGCAAATTAGTTTTTGTACAGAATACTAGTATAATAATAATATTTATTCAACACTAAAATAAACCACAGTGAGTTTATAGTTATATAAAATAATTAAAAAAAAAATATGTGACATTCATTTCTGATTTTGGTTGATCTTTGGTTTGGAGGTTATTTGTTAAGAGAGGTCTGTTATTTCTGACTGTCACTGTCTGCCTTTTCAATGACACATGCAAATCCTTTCAAAGCTTTCTATGATCTTACTTATGATTTATGCTCCTGGCAATTCAGTGTTTTTCTGTAGATTTTGTATCCATGGATGAAATGCATTCGTATAAAGCCTTTCTATAGATATAGGACGTACTTTTCACATCAATATGACAGTGCACCTTTAGTAATAAAGATTCAGCCATTGATTTGCAGGGATTGCACTTATGTATATCTTGATAGATGTCTACTCATTGTTCTACAGCCATCTTCATCAGAGTTTCATTTTGTTGTCACTGACTTGCTAACTCCGACTGACACCTACCTGTAACCCTGGATTAGTATGTTTTTAAAAGAAACACTATTGACACCATGATTCTTTGAATCAGGTTATTTGAGGAATAAATGTTAACAAAGTGTTCATCTTTTTTTTTGAAAAAATGACCATGTATATTTCATATGATATCGCGCATTCAAGTAACCCGTTTATCATGCTTGTGTCACACATTGATTCGGGTTGTGGCCATGTTGATTATCCTACCCTAAAACAAGCTCTGAATTAGCTGGAAACTATGCGATACCGGCTTTCCTAAAAATTAGAGCAAAATAAAAATAGGAAATATTGATAGGTCCCAACACCTTCTGGTGTTTGGGTAGGGAGATGTGGTTAGGGGGGCATCCAATAAATGAATGAACGTTCTAATTAATATTTGACACAATTAACGCAATATTTTACTGATTGATATTTAATATCTATCTCAGTCTTGATCCAAATTAGTATCAGTTACACGGTGTATTTAAGAAAATCACTGCATTAAAAGCTAATTACCCCCCCCCCCCCCCCCGAATAACGATGCTGGTGGGGGGTTATATTGGTTGCTGTCCATCTGTACGGGGGTCTTATCAGGAACACAATTGCAGATAGACATTCACACAGTGTTATACATGTATTGAAGAAATTGCACACTGATCAACATATTTAATGACCATGTGACCATGTCATGTGACCTCATTAAAATGCATAAATATCATATCTGGATCAGGCACTATTACAGACGTTCAACCAGTGTTTATGAATAAAGATGCCATCTCCGATAGCTTTCTTGTTGAATTATTCAAAGGTTCGTACACAGATTGAGCAACTGTGGTACAGATTGAAACTGAAAAGTTTAAACACCCATCTAAGTGCTCCTGTACATGTACATGTCAAAAGGTTCCTTATTTCACTTGATCGTTTTTTAAATCATGCTTGACACGTGTAGTTAAGTCAATCCAATCGGTTCGCCATGTGTCAATGTGTGTTTATTAGAAATACTAATTCACACACAATCTATACACACCATCTGTCCGATGTCAGAATGGATGAAATTGAATCATGAAATAAACAATGTGCTATGTTTGAGCATTGATCCTTATTTTGAAAAAAAAATGGAAAATGTTTATGTCAAATAGATATAACACTACACATGAAAACTTGTGAATCAACACAAATAGGCCATTGCGCTAGTTTGAGTTCTGTGTGCATGGTTGGCAAGAACTGATTACTTATATTCAAGGATAAAATAATGCCATTGATCACTGCTGTTGTTACATGTTGGGGGGGGGGGGGTTATGTGTTACTGTTAATTAAACAACTTGTGTGCAATGCTATCGCAGCAGATTGTGTTGATTAGTGAGCTATCGTTATCAAACTTTTGCATGCTGGTTGGCAAAACTGTAAACTTATGATATTACAGTGTGACGGCCTTATAGAACAAGTAAGAGGAAGTGTGTGGCCATGGTTTTGGTACATTGTCAAGAAGGTTCATTTTTAGCCTTGTCTCTGCCTAAACACAATAGTAATAATAAATTGTTGACACATGATAAATTGTGATGCTGTGTATAATTTCACAGAGGCATATCAGTGCAACTGTGGCTTCTCAACTGCATTTCTATAAATACTTATTTGCAGCAAGGCGCCAACAATGTACTTATGATCTCCCTATTGGTTTCTTATAAATTAATTTTTAGAATTGGGTGTGTATGGCCATTGACTGGATTTCTGGGATAAAAAAGTCATTTATTTTGCTGACCTTAATAGTAATATTTCTTTTTGTTTTACAGTATGGCATGTTTTAAAGATGAACTGATGGTGTCTTCTGGGCAGGGTATATTACAAAGGATACGATGGGATGGATCTGTCAATGCTAAAATGAATATATCAATTAATACTATTCCATTCTCTATAGACTTACAACAATCAAGGCGTGAGTACAAATAAGTCACTGGATTTCAATGATGCTTTGTAATATGCAGACCTGATAAGGTTTCAGTGGAAATCTGTGCATGTTACTTATTTATAATAGTGTTACATGTATATAACATGTATACTCTTAAATGAAAAACCATTGAACCATTTTATTTATTTATTTATTTATTTATTTATTTATTTATTTATTTATTTATTTATTTATTTATTTATTTATTTATTTATTTATTTATTTATTTATTTATTTATTTATTTATTTATTTGTTTGTTTGTTTGTTTGTTTGTTTGTTTGTTTACTCATTTTACAACAATTTACATTCTTTTGGAATAAAACAATTGTTTCTCAATTAGTCTAGCCTGCTTGAGAAATCAGGGCACTGCACTGAATTTTCAACTCGTGTATATTCTTGCATAACTTTGCATATGGTACAGAGTTCCTCAAATTTCCCCTGGGAAACTGGGCCTGAAACCTCTAGTTTGATTTCAATCACTTCCCTAATGAGATAATATATTATATACTAACAGTTCAACCAATGCCAAAACCTGTACATGATTATTCGTACCAATTTATTGATAATACTTGGGTAAAATCCTGACAGAAAAAAATATTAAAAACAAGACTGAATATTTGGTAAGATTAGCTTTAAAAAGTGAATAAAGTAAGTAAAAGTAAAATAAAACAACTGCATTTGTGGGGTTCATATATTGGTTAAACCCTGTCACATTGCCTATTGAAGGACTCCACAGATAGCAATAATGTATGGAAAAAATCGTGTCAGAAGGCAGTATGTTAACTTCTGTATTTGTTATCTGTTACAGAAACACAGTTAGACAAGCTTGGTTTATATTTTAATCATATCGAATATAGTCCTTTATTAGTGGGATTTGCTGTGATTTTTGCTGGTGGGAGAGCTGGGTTTCTCTCAGCGCCAACAGCTAAATTTGAACCACAGGTAAGACAGTGGGGAATACAGTATGTTTAGTAAAGCCATGCCTGTATAGCCTGCTACAGTTGTATTCAGGGATGGTAGGTTTACAAAGTTGATGAAAAGCTACTAGCAAGATTGTGCCTGATTGGTTATCCAACCCTAACACCTAACAGTCAGACCAATCAAAGCGAAGCCTTGTTTTATGTACCAGGTATATGCTGCAGCTCAACCATACATAGCATTCAAGCTCTTTTCTGCTGTTACATTAGACAACATTTTCATAATTACATACAGTAAATACGGATATTGAGATTGTTTTGTGCTTGTTTACTTCTATTTTATTTTTATATGAACAATATTTTTTTATTTTTTTTTTGCAGAATGTTAATGGTGTGTGGGCACAAGAAATAAACACAGCAAGTTGTATCGCCATCAACCAAAAGTATCGGCTTATAGCGTATGGGTGTAAAAAGTAAGTACACATCACTCCTAGTCTGACTATAGTTTCCTGAACGTATGGATGTGTTCTTCCTTATTTGGGAAATATCCAATCCTTATATGTCACATTCAAATATTTTGCTTGTATATACATGTACATCAAACGCAGCAACAACAATGTAACTAGCTTGTGACAGGCACTATTCTGGTAAAATGTGTTTTGCTGACATTTGGGACTGTTTACTTCTTGCCTGTAATGACTATAGGCAGGCTTAGGATGTATAATAATAATCTTAAAAGTATATGCTCAGGCTATATGGGATTGCATTGACGTCTGCTATACGTCAGTCAATATAATCGCCTGCCTGCCTTTTGGCATGCTGTGTGTTGATAACGTTCATCTAATATTTTGAGTGAAAAGCTATAAAAATAAAAAAAATTATTCCTATCACCAGTGGTCAAGGTATTGTGTACTCCGTGGATGAAGTGACTGGTAGTTTACTTGTATCACACAGACTGGCATTATCTAACACAGACTACCCAGGTATTTTCATATATTATTCGTCTTACTGTTCAATAAATGACTGTATACTTATAAATAAGTTGTTGATTTTGAACCTGAGGGTCTTGCACACAGTGACAGAGAGTACATTTGTTTGTAATGCAGTTCTCTCCTAAAACTGTATACTTGGTTGTGATGAGTCATTATTTTCAGATTGTGGGGTATTGTTAATGTGTCTATGTAAGAATTCACTCCTCTAATACATGCTAAGATGCATCCATTCCACTATTATTTAGTCCAAAAAATGTTGCCCTGGTACTAGCATTTACCATTTGGGATAAACTAATATTTTTTGTTTCACAAGATGCGTGTAATGCAGCGGGTGTGGTGACCACTTTACAGTGGACGCCAGATGGTTGTTCACTGGCGATGGGATGGGAGAATGGTGGTCTGGCTTTATGGAGTGTATTTGGTGCTAAGTTATTATGTACATTAGGAGGAGATTATGGGTGAGTACACAGATTGATTGGCTAGTCTGGGTCACATGATTAAAAAATATTTAGATTGCAGTAATATGATTGGCTAGTCTGGGTCACATGATTAAAATGTATCTAGATTGCAGTAATATGATTGGCTAGTCTGGGTCACATGATTAAAATGTATCTAGATTGCAGTAATATGATTGGCTAGTCTGGGTCACATGATTAAAATGTATTTAGATTGCAGTATTATGATTGGCTAGTCTGCTGTCACATGATTAAAATGTACAGTAATACTGAATTATGATTGGCCTATTTATGTTAGCTAAATCTGTGACAAATGCAAATTGGGTAAATATTAAAAGGACTGATAATACAAATAACTGCATCAATTGATACCATTTTCTTAATCCTCATTCATTCTTTTATTTGCACAAATATAATACATGAGTAGGTATGCTTATGCACAGCAATTTTTTTTTTTTATTCTATCAAATAAGGCCAGCTGGTGGCCATTTTTGTAAAAAAAAACACACACATAAATAAATAAATACTCAAACATGTTATCCAATTTCATTCAAATATGAGAAATAGATGTGCAAGTTATTTATTTCATATCCTTTTTTTTCTGTGGTAGAATCTTAGCCATGGTGTTTTTCTAATACTGTTTCCATCTCCATGGCAATTTGTAGTGGGGTGATTATGTTAAGTTGGCTAATATTGTCGGTGACTTCATAGTAGAATTGCTTTAAATGTCAAAGTCAGTATACAAACTATGACTAGTCATTAAAATTTATGTGCAAGTGTCTCTATCGTTTTGTCTGATTCCAATTATGTTGTTTCAGCATTTTACATTTTTGTAGTGAATTGTTAGAAAGGGTTTGTAGTCGATACCATATTTGCTCTATCTATAGCGCATGTGTTTAGATGACAGAGATTTTCCCTTGTGGTCAAAATTAGTAATATGCGCCTTATTGTTTATTAATTATCATTATTTATATATGTACGTGTTTGGAGATATACTGATTTAGCTAATACACAAACTAGATTTTTATTAATGATAAAATCCATTTTGGGTGCAATAAAAACAATCATCCAATGTTACCTGAACTTTCTTGAGCTGCCGAGTGAGGTTCTTGTTGTTCTGGGTAATATCTCATTGTAAAACAGTTGTCTTTGTCGCTGAAGTCGAGAAGCCAATAAACACAGTCTTTAGGTTCATGTGTGCTTCTATTGGAAATGCACTAATAAAGCAAATATGGTGTATTAAATTTTGAGTTGTCTGTGGGAGGTGCCTGAAAAGTTACAAACCACTTTCAGAATATCTCTGACATGTGTGATATTGTATACTGGTATATGCTGTTTGCAGTCATGTACAATATAGCTCTAGATTCAAACTCGTTAGTATTCCTTGCACACTGCCATTTTGTTGTTTTTTTTTGCTTTATTTCTTTCCAAGGCTTCAGGCTGCTAAAAATTTCTCTGTATCCAAAGAAAGGTAAACATAGTAAACTTTTGAAGTGAAAACTGGGAGGTCTGATTAATATGATTAATCAGCTATGATTAATATGCATGGGAATGCCTCAGCATGTGACTTAGAGGAGAGATGCTGATTGGTGGCAACTATATAGTTGTTCATTTTGAAAATGACGTGAATACAAAAAAAGGGACATTTCACTGATTTGAAATTTGTCTGATTTTCTAGTGGAAAAAATAATGTTTTTGTTACCATGGATAATTGAGGGTAGCATGTGTAATTTTATAATAATTGCTGTTATGATACCATATTTTCAATTTATCTGCATGTATCAAAGTAAAGGTGTGGGTACTCGGTATTTCACATTCAGACATTAAATTAGATCTAGTCTGACTTCTTTGTTAGCCTTTGAAAATTTCCAATGAGGTGACATATAGATGTTACATAAGATTAGCATTTTTGTGTTGATTTACCATCGCATGTAATATAATGGGTACATGGGTTATTAAAATGGTTACTGGTGCTTTGTCATTACAACAAACTATTTTTCCAAATTATTTTTAAAATGCCATGTGACTGTGACTGTGTAGCATCTAAGATTTGTGACGTATGTCAACAGTAATGATAACTATGATAAAGGGAATAATATTATATAACAAAAGACAAGGTCACCAGAATTTAAACTATGTTGTTAATTCTGGTTTTTATTTTATCTTGAAAAATACTATCATGCCAATTCCTTTGATACTTTGTATGTACTTTTTTTATGTTCCTTGGGTGGATCTTTGTCAGATTTGTTCTTTTTGTAATGATATCTTCAATTCTCTGGTAGAAAATGCTTTTTTATTTGACTTCAGGTCAATTGCTGTGATAAAAAATGTACTTGTGTAAAGTCCATGGGTTGACTTCCATGAGATTCGTAACAAGATGATAACAATTGTAATTGTTGCCATGGTAATAACGAAATAAACTACCATGGTTGTGATATGGCAAGAAAATTGTTTGAACACTAATTAATAACAACCATGGCAAATAGTTAATATCTCACCGCGCAGAACGTGATCAACTTTGTTTTGAGGAAGACACTACAAAGACAGCAGAGATATTACTTGTAAGACAAATCATATGGTGAGAGTAAGGAAACATGCATGTTTCTGCATATACATGTATGTAAGGTCATGGTTGGAAGATATTGAAAATATTACATGCACAACACCAAAGATATGAAACACATATATGTTTATGATTCTAATAATAATAATAACCTTAGCTTGTCTAGATATTGATATAATTTCATGTTTTATTTCCAGCTTTTCTCAAGATGCTTTCAGGGATAATCCTTTACAAATAAAGTCAATGGTAAGTTGTTTGTTCTGACTATAGTATTGCTTACTCACACACTGTGTACCTGTGTTGTGTTGATTCATGGGTGTGGTCAATTGCTTCAATGACAGCCAGTCAAGCCTTCAGTAAATTCAAGTTAAAGCCAAAGTTGATTGTACTTTTGAATTTTTTTATTTGAAAATATTTAGTCGTCTTCATGTGTTCGTAAAAGCGTTTATTTTATAAGCTTAATTTATGCAATAGAAATAATAATTTTATGATTTGATTTGACATCAAAAAATAAAAATTCATTGATGACCTGGTTGTTGTACATTTTACTATATCTATCTACTAGTGTCGTTTAAAGATTACTGTAATATACTTTATTTTAGCTGGAATTAATTTTCGCTGAAAAGACTTTTTGGTGTTTTTTTTGTATGGAATTTATTTTCACTGATGTTTGACCAGTTGAATGTAAAATATAGGATAGGGTATATTCGCTGTATCTTATTCTCACTGAATCATTTCTTCAGTGTAAATAGCGAAAATAGATTCCAAGCAAAAATAAAGTATTTTACAGTATACTGTAATTCTGACTGAATATGAACTAATTAAAAGTTTTTTAACAATAAATTTTACTGGCCATGATATCCAGGGCATTATCATTATTTATTAGACACAACACTTTTGTCAATATTGAAAAGTCACATAACAAGAACGAACAAACTGACAATATTAAAATAAAAACAAAATGTAACTTGTGATTTGCTGTGTACAAAAATTGCATTTGATAAATTTAGCTTTTCACTGAGAACAAATTATCGTTTCCTAAATCTGTAACCCTAAACAAACATGTAGCCCCAATAACCAGGAATTATTGTGTGTTTTCTGTAAAGGAATGGGGCATGGAGGGCTATCATCTGTGGGTAACAACAACACCTAAACTATCCAGTAATGGCAAGAGAAAGTCGGTGGTGTCTCCTGGCGGTTTAATACAGTTGCAGTTTGTGAAGAGTTCACTGACAGTTAATCCATGCATTGTAAGTATCGGTAATTACTATATTAGGTGTGTTTTACTGATTGCTCTCAAAATATAATCATTGACTCTGCAACAGGTATTATTGTTGTTGGCATGAATGTTTCACTGATGCACTTTATATGAAGTTCAAGGGTACACTATTTGTTTTTTTAATATCGTATACACTTACCGGTAATATGTTTATGATAGAGATCTGTCTATGGTCACGATAAGTTGCATTTGAATGATCCAGCATACAATCACAGTCTCTCTATCATAGAGGGACTATGATGCAATAAATGCTTTTGTTCGTCTACATGCACTGTTGGAGTTGTGACTGTATCAGCTTCTAATAGAGCTACTGTTAAAGTATATGTTAAATCTTGCGTATGACTTCAATTTATTATCACATATAAGATTGTGGATTTATGTGGTCCATGTAAAAAGTATATAGGGCTGACAAGATTAGGGTTAATGACCACTAGGGTTAATACACCACTATCATCCCAGTGGTTTTATCCCAAAATATCCTGCCTCTGAGACCCTATAATTACAATGTACTTCCAAGGGGTTAAGTCTTATTAAATATTATACAACAATGTAATGATGCTTAGACAATGAACTTGAACTCTATCTTTCTGTGTTGACAGAGTAACCATGAGCACTTATTTTTGCAAGGGGAAGATAGATTATACCTCAATACCGGTGACACCATACTCAAGACCAACACTCAAGAGATTGCATCTGGTGGCAGTCCTGTTAGAGAAATACCTCCTGTACTTAAATCTATAGGTGAGAAAACAGACTTTTCAACATTGGTGGCTGGTCTGACTGATGCTGCTGTTTGTTCTAGCATGGAAGTACAGTGTATATTGAATGTTTTGTACTGAATAAATAACTGATTTGCGCCCTCTGTGTTGAACATTGAACTTTGAAGATTGTTGAATATCTGCAACATGTAGGTCTTTGTAGGTTCATGGCCTTATGGTAACAGGCCAAGCATACCTAGTTGCATGTTAAGCTACTCCAAATTTTCCAGATTCCGTTCTTTCTTGAACTAAAAAGTAGTGGTTCATGGCAATGGTGTGATAGATTTTAGTTATTATTACACAACAAAACAAAATTGTTGATTTGATGGTACAGAAAAATCATGTGATGGCTATTCCTTGATCAACTAAAACAAATAATATAATTGTGTGACTAATAACAAACGTCAAACCTGAACCAATTTATACTAAGTTGTGAAATTACTTTATATCTTCTCTTTGCTTTATGTGTACAGGTCCAGCATCTCAGGGTCCAAGTATACTTGTTGGAAACAAACAGTGGCAGATCATCCAGTTACCGCACAGTTACTTGGCAACCAATTGGCCAGTACGGGTAAGCTTACAATCACACTTATGTAAACCATCTTAATTTCTTGAGATAAACTTTGTCCTCGTCTAAAATATTCTTACAGTTGCACTCGTTCGCTACCTAGTATAATGTAGTTAGGTCTTTTATGTGAAGTATTTGATAATCCAAGTTTGCATGAATTATGTGAAAATATGCAGTAAATATTAAAATTTCATGGATTTTTAGATCATCCACATGTTGTTGTTCAATTTGGCCTAATATATGATTGTGTGTTTGCATTTTATTTGCAAACACTTTGAGTAGTTTTCTATTAAACTGGCACGAATTCACAAAAGTTTGCTTCTGTTATGAATTTCTGTAATTGGTGGTAATTCTGAAAAAAGGCAAGAATCATTAAATTGTTATCACAATTTATCTATGTTCATATCATATTTCGCTCAAAAAAACTTTTAGAAATGATCTCAGAGTGCAACTTTGATTCATCAAATCAGGAAACTTTCTAGCAGTGAAAATTTATTCATGTACAGAATAGAGTGATGTAATTTGATATTTAATGTGAATTATAATAATTTGTCAATGTCACATGGAGTTTACAATATCATGTATGTAAACATAGTCAGATCTGTTTGCATAGTTTGCAGCAGTGGATAGGACTGGGCACTGCGTAGCTGTATCTGGTAAAACTGGTCTGGCACATTATGCATTATTTACACGAAGATGGAAGTTATTTGGGAATGAAAATCAGGAACGGGACATGGTAGTTAACGGTGGACTGTGTTGGTGGAGAGATTTCATTATTGCTGGGTGTTATAATTTAAATGATCACAGAGACGAGGTAAGTGATCTGTGTCAGGTGTTTGCTTCTATGGTCTCTTTTCATTGCAGTATTCAGAGTTCTTCATTGCAGTATTCAGAGTTCTTCATTGCAGTATTCAGAGTTCTTCATTGCAGTATTCAGAGTTCTTCATTGCAGTATTCAGAGTTCTTCATTGCAGTATTCAGAGTTCTTCATTGCAGTATTCAGAGTTCTTCATTGCAGTATTCAGAGTTCTTCATTGCAGTATTCAGAGTTCTTCATTGCAGTATTCAGAGTTTTTCATTGCAGTATTCAGAGTTCTGTTATACCCTATAACCTTCGTTTTGTGGCCAATACCCTGGATAGAGTAGCAACCATGCACAGAAAATGTTCGGGAGTAGTGTTTGTAAAAAAAATTTAACTTTTTAACCTATTGCCTAATTTAACCTAATTTAACCTATTGCTAGTTCCAACATGTGCAGTATCCTATGTACTCTTGTCTGTTTCAAACACATTGTATTAGTATTACAGCATTTAATACTTAAATACATATAAATAAATTCTGCTCTGTTCCATTTTGTCCATGTTATATATAGCAGCCTTACACTTTTTAAATTTTGAAAGTTGGCAGTAAAAAAAACTGTCACAAACTTATCATTATATGAAAAATGTTAGTTTATAAAAGAACTTTTAGATATCACTTCAATAAGGATGGATGTTTACATGGAGCTCATTCACTCTTCAAAATATCATCGGTACAATTATTTCACCTAGATTCTTAATATTTATATCATCTTTGATGGTTTTTTTATTCATCTTTTCAAGGTCATCTGACGTGATGATTATCATCATTTTTTGATTCGCAGATTCGGTTGTATCCCAGAGTTAGCAACCTGGACAATGCCTTTGCTAATATCACTAAAGTACCTTACCAAGTTTTGCTGGTCAACGTGTTCCGGGATATTCTGATTGTGTTTTGTGTTGACTATCACGTGACGTTGTACGAAATTGAGAGAAAGGACACCAAGCCAAGTAAGTGATGACACTGCCATTGATAACCATTGTCAATTTCTGTTTCCGTCCACAAAATAGTTCTGTTCAAAGAGATGTTGATAGAAAACAACTGCCTTCAACTGTTAAACTCATTTCAACTTTTGTCACCTTCCACACAACATTTTTGCTCAAAATCTGCTTTACATACCTTTGATATAACTTTTAACCTTAAAGTCAACTTTTAACACCATCCAGAAAGTAGTCCTGTTAAAAATATTCTTGTTTGCTGTGAAAATAAAAAAAAAACCTTTGAACTTTTGTCAAATATTTCTATTGTTTTCATTAAAAATTAATATGTCAGTATTGTAGATAAAGTGTGGTGATTGTCACAACTGTTTTGTGACAGAATAACAAGTTTACTTCTGATTCTAATTCTCACAGTGTCTGCGTCAGAATTATTGAATAATTAATCCTGTTATGTAATGCTTAGCGATGTCAATTGAAAACAATACTATTTAGAAGCTATAATAAATTTGGTACATTCACTTCAAAATCATTAAATTTATTGAAAATCACACAACTCTTACAAGCATTTCCTCCAATATGTGAAGTGCCTAAAATGTTGATTATTTCACATTATTATGTGTACCTTACTTGATTAAGTACAATCTATAACTTTAATATGATTATATGGATATCAAAGTCTATAGTTGATTTTTTCATTATAATTGAATTAATTTGAATTGCAAACATGCCTTTGCTGAACTAAACCTATTTTTTTTGCTCACTTGTACTTCAATTTATTTTTTATTTCTCTGGATGAACCTTCTTTTATTCTGTTTTGAACTGTTCTGAAACCTACCTGTTGCTTTCCCTTACCATTTATTAGCTCTATTTTTTGGGCAGTTTTGCTTTTAGTTTCCTTATTTCTTTATTTTGCCTTCTATTTCGTTTTTTGTTTTCATGTATTTATTCATCCATCTCCTCAGTGTTTGATTATTTGCATGTATTTGCATCCTGTGCATGTGAACTGCATGTTTGCATGTGATTACAATGAATTATTCTCTCAATATAACAATTGGTTTACTGCATGTCAACTCTATATTGTATGCTTGATGTCTGTCGCTTGCTTTGTCTTTTATCGCATATGTTTTGATTTTACTTAAAATTCAAATCCTAATGTAAGTTCTCATAGTTTAACTGCTTGAGATATAGACT